GGGAAAAAAAAAAAAAAAAAAAAAGGACGATCACTTTTCATAGTCACAGTGCGACTCCTCTCAGCCATATATATATGTACGTGAGCGCAGGCAATCAAATTCAAAGTCCGAGTCACCAAACATACCTGCAATCACATCAAAGATTCAATCAAAAAGCCCATGCACTACACGGGGTCAACTTCAACCATTCTCTGCACTCACACCCCTTGCTTTTAGCGATACAAGCCTCACTCTTTGTGCAACTCTTAAAATAAAATACTCAGTACCTTCCTTTAAATGGCCATTCAAATAAAGTGCGGGCGAAAACATAACAAAACAATTCAAATCACAAGGCGAAAGCCTGTAAGTTCAGTTGCAAGAGCGGATTGGAGTTGACCATCGCACGCATCAACGGCATTGAGGCCAAGGCCTCAGCAGCGCCAGGCTGCACGACGGACGCGACGAAGCAAATCAATGAACACATCGATCACGTCGTCACCATCATCGGCGACATAGGTGTTTTCAACGGACCGGACACGATCAGCAGCACGGTGGCCGCCCTCAAGACGGATATTACCAAGCTACAGACGAGACCGGACGCCGCTACAAATGCCGCACTTCGACATCTGCAAGTTCGACGGCTACAACAAGTCGGACGCTTTGACATGGTGGCAACGTTTTCTCACGGAAGTGTCATGCCGCACTGTCCCGACGAACGGCATGTTGAAGGCACTCTATTTGCAACTGATTGGAGGAGCGCAGGCATGGATGAACCACCTGGCGGCCACCCACAAGTGCACCATCGCCCAACTCCACACGCACATCACGTGGAAGGAGTTCAATGGTTCACCCGGTTCATGGTCCGCAACGTCGTGAAGGCGGCCATGAACGAGGTGTACACATGCTCTTAGGGGAATATGCCAACTCGAGACTGGACAACGAAGTGGCAAAAGATAGTGACCACGCCAGGATTCGATTTGAGTTTTCCAAATCAACGATCCGAGTTCTTCTCGCGATCGTGCGCGGGATTGTGGTCGGCACTCGGTAATGAGTACGACTATACCACATTCCAGGCCATTCTGGATCGAGCGAACTTGGTCATCCAAACGGACGACAAGGCCGCTAACGAGAGACAATCCCAGCCGCA